TTAAGGTTAAAATGAGTTACTTTAGTGTTCTTAGGCTGTGTGTGAAGTTTGGTTAAGTTTGGAGTTCAATCGACCAAGAACGTCCATGACATTCGGAAGGTGTGCCTTAGATTGTACTAGTGCGTCTTGATGTGTTTGGATGAGTTTTACGTGTTTGTTTTCCTTGAAACTAAGGTGGTATGTTTCTAAGATCTAGACGGATTATTTTAGGGGTTTAACATCCGGGCAAGACCCCACCTAGGACCCGCAAGGGGCCCTAGATAAAGAGCCCTAAACTTAGGTAAAACTGCCAAAAAGCAGTGGCCATCGATGACCCTAAGGACGGTCCGTTGGTCCATCAACGGTACGTCGACCTAGGACGTAGATTGGACCATAAGGTCATGGTTGAAAGGCTCCATTTGTAGCTAAGTTCCAAACCACGAGAACCTACCAACGGTCCGTTAATGCACAGACGGTCCGTTGGTGAAGGTCTCGTTTGTAAGGGCCTGCCAAGTCTGTGAAGTTGCTGCCAACTTAGGGTGTTTTATGTAAATATACCCCAAGTATTTTAAGACCCTAGGTGGATAATTTTAGTGTTATTAGGTTATATTAAATTAGTTTTAAAACCTAGACCTAGACAAGACCCCTCACTTCAAATATTAAAACTTCCTCTCTAAAGAAAACTCTCCCAAAGTCACCATTGAAGCTAAGACTCAAGGAGGGCTAATAGAGAGAAGAGAAGACTTATTATTTCTCTCGAGAGATGATTTTACAATGAAGACGAACTCTTTATTCATAGGGGAAATCTGACTTGGTCTTCAAGTAGGACTATAGACTATAGACATTCACTATAATAGAAATACTTTATAGCAATAAATTAATTTTTATGACATTTTTACCCATATTTATCAATTTATTCATAAATGATTTTCAATGAAAAAGTTTCCCACCGCATAGGGAATGGACTAATTCCCATATATCTATAACTTTCGTAAATGCATGTTATTCATTTTTTTTTGAATTGCTCCAAAATTGTAGAATGTCAAGAAGTTTATAATTTCTTACTCTTCTTTTTTCTTCCTTTGTAAATAAAAGATATAAAAAATATATAAATTTTTAATATAAAATTAGAAGATAAAGTTTAAAATTTAACTAAATCCTTTCATTCACTTTTACTTATTAAATATTTCTAAAATAGTTTTTCATTTCTATTTGTCACTTTTGACACATCAAGAAAAATAACTAGTTTTTCATATTTTACCCTTAGCATTAATTATTATTAGTATACATACCCCGACGCTGTATGGATATTATAAAATGTTTAAAGTTAAAATTTAAAAGTAATTTTTAATTTATTATAAAAAGAGTAATTAAATATATCAGATGGGGAACATATATCATTAAAAAAATAAATATAAAGTACTATAAATTATTTAAAATAATGCACAACTTAACTATACATAAATTATACTATGTTTTATTGAATATCAAAGTTCTATTTTTATACATAAGTTAGTATTGAAAAATATTAAATCTATTTTCTTAAATTACGTAAAATAAGCTATAAATCACTTTGTCAAAATTTATATACAAAAATATTATAATGATTATTATAAAATTTGAACTAGTGAAACGCAAAGTAAGATATATTATGTGAAATATAAGTTTAAAAAACTATACATCAACTTAAAATATATATAGAAATTTAATATGTACCATAATTTTGAAGAAAGGAATATTACATGAAAATTACATAAATATTAATATAAATAATAATTATAACTAACAACTTAAAATAATTGGAGGTTAAATTAAAAATGTGATTTTAAAAAAATTTATTATACTGAACATAAATAAAATGAATAAACTTACATATATTGTGCTTTTCTAATATGGAATATTCTTAGAGCCAGACAAAGCCTGTTGGGCCGGCCTAGCCTAAACCCGAAATTTAATAGGGGTGGGTTACGATTTTTAGAGTCTATTAGAAAAGGGCTTTTTAATCCGGCCTGAACAAGTCGTTGATTTGTGGGGCTTGAGAAATATCGGTAGGGCCGGTCCGTGGGCCAATAGAAATTAATTAAAAAATATAATGTAATACTAAAATAAAAAATTAAAGAGAGTTCAAACTTAAAACAATAATTTAATATTTCTATTTAGATATTTATACTTTTACTTGAAAAAAATAAACAAATATTATAAATATAATTTTATTTACGGGTATAGTTAAAAAGTTGTAAAATTTTTACTTGAAAAAAAATTAATAAATATTATGAAAATTATTTTATTTATGAATTATATTAGAAAGCAGCAACATTAACATCATGTAACATTATTTTGTCGATATTTATGACAAATTATAGTTTATAATTCAAATTAGTAATTATAAAAAATAATATTATTTTTGTAAAAAGTGGATTGACCCGATAAGCATGTAGCCCACGTACTTGTGGGTTGAGCCGATCATTTTCTGGCCCACACAAAAAATAGGCTAGTCTAGTCTAACCAATAAAATGTTGAAGCTTGTATGGTTTAACCCGTATGAAGTGCGCTAGCCTATATTGACAGTTCTATTGAATATGAATATATAGACAAAGTTAAAAAATATGATTAAATGATTACAATATAATATATTTTAAATTTATATTTTAAGTGCAATAATATGTTGTTTTAT